CCTCATAACACCTACGAAATCCTCATGATACTACACTTGCATTGCTTCGGTGATTTTGTGCGTACATACACACATTGCGTGCACACATTATACACGCAGGACCCATGCCTGTGTGGTTGTGTGTGTATGAATATACATATATTGTACACATGCATATGTAGCTATCAAGTTTCCCTTCCATGACGATAAGCTGGATCTCCCACAAAGAGGGGGAGTTCATTAGCCCCCAAGTCCTGCAATCACCGGCTCCTTTCGAAACAGCCTGTGAAAGCAGGTTGACAGCAACCATGAAGAAGCAAAAATGAAGTCCTGACGGTGGCTTGGGCTTCTACGGATTCTAGCGCGTTCCACAAATTTGGAAGCCCCAATATGAACCTCAAGCCGCCAAACCTTTTCACGGGTCCCAAGAAGAAGGGCTGAAACAGCATCCACCCCAAGCCCAAGTGTGGGACAATGTCACTTATCAGCATTGTGCGTGTGATGTCGTGATGTTTGCGTCGTGGGTTCAGTGAGTCGATGTGCTTCAGGTAAAGCTTGAACCCAGTCCCATTTGAATTACAATCAGAAGGAATACGAATTCACACTGAAGCATTGCCATGCGATGTAACTGCAGAGAAGCGGACTCCTTGCAAATGTCAAGCTGAAACTTTGCCCCCCCGCTCCGGTTCAAACATTGGCCAGTGAGGAGAGTTGTGATCTCTGGAAGAAGATGGGCGTGGTTAAGCCAATAAAGGCCAGAGCCACGCAAACCTATATGAAACATCCAAATATCCAAACAACAAAAGTTTAAAAAACGATGCCTTCCTTCAAACTGTTTTAAGATGCTCCAAGCTCCCCAGGGAGGTCCCCTCATCTCTTTCTCCGCGCCCCGCCTCCGACATGATGTCCCTTGGTATGCAGGCTAGGGACACTGAAGCAATATAGGGATAATGGAAAAGCAAATGGAAACTACTAGAATATAATAGGGTATATATTTGGGTTAAATACGAATAATGTAAAAAAATGGAAGCTACTATTTCGGGTTTAAGGTTTAGGATTCTGGCCTCAGGGGTTGATGGTCTATATGGGGCTGGGGTTATAGTCCCCCTTAAACAGATAGAATATGGGGTATATGGGGATCTTATTATTCTTATCATAATATGCCCAAAGCCATATTCTATCTTAAGGGGGACTGCATAGGCTTCAGGTTCAGGGTTTAGGGGTCAGAGAGGGTCAGGGTTTGGCGTCAGATGGGACTGCAACAGATTGTACTACCCCACCCTATTTGACAACGCAAAGAAGCATTTGGGCGGATTCATGGCTGTGCCCCGTTACAAGGGCAGAGAATGCCCAGGGCAGCCTTAATAGTCTGAAACGTCTGTGATTGCTGTAGTTCGGTAGGAGAAGTTTTTGGCCCAGAATGGCTCGAAGCATCCCAACATAAACGCTAAAACCGAAATAGTAGCTTCCAGTTTCTTTTGCATCATCCCTATATAACCCCAAAATATACCCTATTATAAAATAGGAGTTTCCATTTTCTCTTCCATTATCCCTATATTGCTTCGGTGTTCCTAGCCTGGAGCAAAAAGGAGGCTGGGAATGCTGAAGGGAAGCAACGCCAGGTTTAGGGTTTAGGGTTTAGGGCCACCCAGTGGATGTTTGGGGCCGGTGTATGTTGAGCAAGCAGCTCCAGAGAGCGCTCCACTGGGTTGCTGTTAAGGAACTTAGTTTAAGCTACCTTATTGGGGAAACCGCATCATTTACTATATATATGTATATATATATATCTATCCATCTATCTATACCCAGTATGGTAACTTAATTTAAGTTCCTTAACAGCAACCCAGTTCATGCAAGTCTAACTTCAGGAGGGTGACTTGGTATCTGTTCTGGGTCCCCACCCCTAAACCCCAAACCCTAGGGCATCTCTGCAGAAAGAGGGTCTGTGAGAGTCAACCGCCTTCATCCTCATCATCCTGAACTGCTGAAAAACAACTACCTAGGCCTTAAGCTTGCTGGGGTTTAGGGGTCGGGGTTTAGGGTGCTTCTTCGGGAATATGGGAATATATTGCATAAGGACTATCTCAGGATTGTATTCCCTTTAGTCCCCTGGCCCTAAACCCTGAATCCAGACCCTACTAACAACCAATTCTGGGCCCTCAGGCCTCATTTGCTGAACCGGCGTGGGTAGCCGGACCTGCGCGAAAGGTAGGCGGAGATCTAGGGCTTCGCCTTATAGGGTGTAGGGTTTAGGGCTTTGGGGTTTAGGGTGTAGGGTTGAGGGTTTGGGGTGTAGGGTTTAGGGTTTAAGGCCATTCTGCCCTACTCCAGACTAAACATCACTCCCCTACAAATGATTTTACTTACTGGGGGCTTGTAGGGAATATATTGTCTATATATAACCCCCAGATAGCATATTCCCTTATTCCTTACTAACCAACAGTAAGTTAGGGGTTTCCTGGTTACTCAGGGAAAGTTCAGGTCGAGGGTCAAGTTTGGGGGCGGGCTTGGCCAAGCCGAGTATTGGCAGCCGCCAGACCGGTATGTAATATGTATGAGCTATAGTCAACGCGGTTTAGGGCTTAGGGTTTAGGGTTAAGGGTTTAGGGTCCAGGGGTTCAGGGTTTAGGGTCTATAGTCTAAACTCCTTAAAAAGGAGGGTTACATGGGGGATTATAAAGGGGACATTCTAGGGATTTCTGGGGGCTATTAAGGCGGATACTAGGAGTTGAGACTATAGCTCAAATGGGCCTAAGGAAAGTTGAAGGCCCCAGGGTTCATATCTATGCCTACAGTCCTACAAATTGATGTCACCCAGCAATGTCTACGTGGATCCAACATGCCAAAACAGGGCCCTCTTCCCCGTGTGATGTCAAGTTCTGCAGGTTTCAGACGGGATATGAGGCTTTCCACGAATTACAAGCAGGGGTCTGTTTTCGGGGTACCTAAGATAAGGAATCCGCATTTTGGGAAACTACCATGTGAGTCATCAAGCCACTGAAGCGGGTTTTTGAAGTATACTACACGTACACTAGTGCTGCAAGATGATATGGGCGGCCATCCTTTAAGTCGCCGTATTGCCTTCGATTATGGATCAACTCTTCCCACGCCAAAAGGCTACCCCCTGCATCCAAATCAGGGTAGAACTCAAGGCTGGAAGCGCGGGGGTATGCTCTACAAATGTGATATATACATATATATATATATAACTATGTGTATATATTTATACACCAACTATATCTACATATGGTATATTAGTATATGCATTTATTTATAGGACGTGTACTTTGGGGTCCTACAATTTATTGGCTGGCTTCCGGAAAGGGTCCGGATATCAATACTCCCCAGTATCCGACGTTCTCCAACCAGAGGCCCTAAACCTTAGATCGAGGATGCTTGCAGCCCCTCTGCACCAATATTGGGTACTCGGGACGCCCTGCTTCCCGAATATTTCTGCATTGCCACACGCAAATTCTGCCGCATGTGAGAATTACTCGTGAACCGCACAGACGGCAATGCTCTGTGTGGCATGGAGGCGCCCCTGTACTGTCGACAGATACAAAGGTATTACACGTCGGGAGCTGGGCTTTAGGGCAGTCCTTCTGTTCTTTTAACTATTGGTATTCCAATGCTTGTACACGGTACTACGAAGAATTGAATCTCCGAGTATGTGATCTGGAGCCTTATGCTCGGTTCTGTCTCAAACACCTTGTGACGGGCGGTTACAACCCAGGAAGATAAGCAGAAGCACAAACAAAACGGGCCCAGTGTCAGGACTCCGTGTCCCAACGTTCGGGTGCATTTACCCAAGCAAGCACGTAATTTGAAACGCGGTCCCTTCCCTCTTGTTGGGTGACATCGTGTAACATGGAAGGTACTGGCTCTCAAATGGGTACGTCAGAAACTGGGAGCTCCCTTGTATACCAGCAACAACATAAACCGTGAGGACCCCTCCACCATATTTGCCAGCAAGAGCGTCGGAGGTCGGAGGAACCTCTGGAAACCGCGAGGCATGCGCGCAAGGAAGTAAAGCAGCCGTGGAAGAGAGTCCGACCACGCCGAGAATTATGTGAGCTGTAGTAGTCTAAACTCTTAGCATCCCCTCTAATAATCCCTGTACTAATCCCATTTTTAATACCCTATGTAACCCCTTTAAGGATTTCAGGCTATATTTCAGGTGGTTCCACAATCACAACAAATTCTGTTCACCAGGCTGGACTAAGGCTGCAAACATCATGGACTCCTCTTCAATCCCTTGACTACGAAGCTTAAAGAAAGAAGGAGACCATACGTCAGGTACTAATAATGAAAGTAGTAATAGTAATATCAAAAAATAATAGTAATCATAGTAATAAGTGTAATAACAGCGAGATAAGCAACAATGGCACTCATTTCACTACAATAAATAGGTACCAGAAGCCATTCAGGTTGTAGTATTCGCGACTTGAAGCCCTCTATACCCCATCATAATATTTTCCATTTTCTTTTCCAGTACCACCCATATAACCCTAATATAACCCCAATATTAGCAAAACATAACCCCAATATAATCCCAATATAACCCCCCTTAGAAGGGTCCTGAACCCTCATGGATCCGGCTTCCTCAGCTCTCGACGCCCGAATCCTGAACCCTGAGCCCCGGACACGCGTCCAGGTCTATGAGCCCAGAAAAAGAGAAGTTCAGAAGCTTTATATGTACCATTGTCTAAACTCCTAGTATCCCCCTAAATAACCCCTATAGTAGTGCCCTATATAAATCCCTTTAAGGAGTTTAGACTATAGCTCATATAGCCCTCTCGCGTTTTGAGCAAGTTCTACAGCTATCCTCTCAAAGATTTGAAAGTTGTGTCTGGCAACTTACTTCTTCAAGGATGTCGACAGAACGTGGATTTTGGGCTTCAGGGGCAATGGTCGAGGCACCAACTTTCTGAACCACTCGCCCCAGGCTAATTTATAAGAGACATTGAACTCTGCAGCTGTCTCAGAATGGCATTTGACCGCGCGAGATGGCTCGAGCATCTTCAGAACCTTGGTGCTCTACACTCCCAGTATTCCGCTTAATAAGCCCTATCGTAGTCCCCTATATACATATAATCCCCTATATAACCCCGCTTTGAGGAGTTTTTACTCCAGCACATGTAGTCCCAGAGCTCACAGGTTGGAGAACAGGTGCAAGTGCATCGGCCCTCGTAGACAGCTCTAAGATCGCCCCCACAATGACAAGACCTGTCGCAATCTTGGATCCCCAAAACGGATCTGGACTCTAGAACGGATCCGTGTAGCAGTGCCTATATCACCACCAATTTCAATTTGCTTGCCCGTTCCGGTAACCCTAAGCCCTATGCAACCCCACAATCCGCAGTGTCTATTTCAATGCTCATCCGCTTTTCCATGTGTTTCTTCACGATTGGGGTCCTATCTCCGCAGCCTCTGTATCCCTGCATAAACCCCTGTGTAACCCCTTCAGTATGTCATCCCGAAGTACGCCCAATATGTCCATTTGTAACCCCTGAAAGCCAACAAGCAAACCCAAAGCCGAGAGTCTCTTCGTCGGAGTCCGCACCTTTGTCGGCTTTCGGCTCCTCCTGGGATTCCATATGACGCTCGCGTAATATGGGGGTTTCCCAAAATTAGGGGTACCTTTTTGGGGGTCCCTATAATAAGGGTTATAGTATCTTGGGGTCCATATTGGGATCCCTTATTTTTGGAAACTACCATATGTATATAGAAAATTATGAAAAAGGGGTTAGATAGGAAAATCGGGAGAGAGCGTGCGTTTGGGTCCCGACATGAAAAGCAGACAGTCAGACAGTCAGACACTCAGACAGTCAGACCCGAAAAGCCGACAATCAGACAATCAGACAGTCAGACCCGAAAAGCAGACAATCAGACAGT